AATTACAAAATCATTTTTATAAGTGGAAGGGACCATAGAAACCATCTTGTTGCAACTCCTCGGTCTACATAAAAAGAAACTGAGGTTTAGAAAGCTGAAGAGTTCCCTAAGAGTACAGTGGTTTTAGTGTCTGAAACCTGAACTACAACTCACACCTGCTCAAGAGCACAGGCCTCCACCTCCACGTGCAGCTGGAACCACTCCAGTGTGACTGCTGTGTCTAAGGCAAGTGTCTAACAGAGCACCACGGGTCTCTGACCTTGCCCGTGACCATCAGATCTTCCAGTAACACTTATGAAGATGCTTTTCAGATATATACTGGCTTAAACAAAAGAAGATTTTAATGGCCCCCAGGTTGAAAAGTTGAGGGCAGGTCTAGTTTTCGGCACAGCTTCACTCGGTCAAGTCTGCCCAAATCCACTGTCTCCATCTCCCAACTCTACTTCAGTCCGTGTTCACTATTTTCAAGCTCTGCAGGATGCCAGCAGCTACACAGCTTCACTCGGTCAAGTCTGCCCAAATCCACTGTCTCCATCTCCCAACTCTACTTCAGTCTGTGTTCACTATTTTCAAGCTCTGCAGGATGCCAGCAGCTACGCAGCAGTCCCCGACCCGTGGTTTCACTTCCCATGGTTTCAGTTACCTGCAGTTAATTGCAGTCCAAAAATATTAAATGGAAAATCCCAGAAATAAACAATTCATATCTTAAATTGCATGCTGTTCTGAGCATCATGATGAAATATCTCACTGTCCCAGTCTGTCCAGCCCAGGACATGAATCATCCCTTCGTCTACTGCATCTGTATTGTAGACACTCCTCGCCTGTTGGTCACTCAGTAGCCCTCTCTGCTATCAGATTGACTGTTGTGGCATTGCCATGCTTGTGTTCAAGTAACACTTATTTTACTTAATAAAGCCCCAAAGCACAAGAGTGATGCTGGCAGTTTGAATATGCCAAAGAGAAGCCATGAAGTACTACCTTTAAGTGAAAATGTGAAAGTCCTCGACTGAAGGAAAGAAAAAATTGTATGATGACTTTGCTATGGTAAGAATGAATCTTGTATCTGTGACATTGTGAAGAAGGAAAAAGAAATCGTGCTAGTTTTGCTGTCACTCCTCAAACTGCAAAAGTTACAGCCACCATGCATGATAAGTTAACGAAGGTTAAGATGGAAAAGGTATTAAGTATGTAGGTGCCCCCTACATATTTAGGACATGAGCGGAAAACATGTTCCAATCGACAGCAATGTGTGTGTTGGGCAGAAAGCATTGAGCCTATGTGAAGACTTCAGCAAGGGGTCCCCTAAAATGCATGACAACAACACATTTACGACAAGTGAGGGACGGCTACCCAGATTCAGGAATACAGAAGGTCGTAGCAGCCTAATGCTAGGTCACAATGCCTGT